GGTTAGATTTTAATGGAACGGGGATAGATCGAGTTATGGGTTATTAATACGAGCGATTATCAGACGAGAGCACAGGACGGGCGCGAGCTCGGGGCAGGGACTCGATGCGATATATGTCAAGTTAATCTAAAAATGGAAGACATGGGACACGAGGCTGCGGAGAGATACGCTCCCCGCGAGAGATGGGAGTCGACACTATCGCTGGAAGACGGGTCGATTCTATCGGATCTGGATCCCCTATAGATCTAATTGTATAAGCACAACGACGCGCAACCCTCGTAATTCTAGCGCCTCTTTCGTTCATTTCTCGAGTTGCTTGCAATTCAATTACATATGTTTAATAATTATTAATTCTATTTCATTATAATTTAAACAAAAGTTTTATTTAACAGATTTGAAACTTGTAATATTGTTACTTCATCTAAAATATAAAATAAACGTAAGAATAGTTATAGTTGTTGCAATTAAATATAAATTCAATAAAAACTTAATGAGGAATAATTTGTTGAAATGTCTTTTTGTTGAAATTATAAAATACAGGTTGCGCGTCATTGACTTGCGATATGATCGAGAGAAAAAGAGCGACTCGCTCAAGTTCTATATCAGTGCAAGGCAAAGGCATCCTATGAATCGAGATCTTTCATGGATCTACAATGTAAGGAAAACAAAAGAGTACTTCACTAAACTTCCATTAATTAGATGGTTCCGAAAATTAGATGATTTCAATGAAAGACAATATTTCAGATGACGGATAACTGTTCCACCGACAATATGATCGATATGAAAGGAGTAATGATTTAAAAAAGAAGAAGAAAAAGAGAAAATACGATAAAGAATATTTGTGATGAAACGGTCGCAATAATATATATATATATATATATATATATATATATATATTAAAGAATCGTTTCTACTTCTTAAACATAAAAATTACCAGCTATTTTAAAAAGCGTAAATAAATCTTAAAAAATTTTAAAAACATAAACCTTAAAAAATTGTAAATTAAATAGATAAAGTTAACCTAAATTAAGTCACATTAATGTAATAAAAATTAGGTCTTAATAATTTTTGAAATGAAATATTGTAAGTAGCCTAATTGTCAAAATTGTTCTCATTCGAAATTGCTATCAGTATTTCACGAGCGTAATAAGGATTTAAAACTTATTCGTAAATTACGGCGTGGATTAACCGACGATTAGAAGGATGAGAAGGAAAGGATAAAACGGCAGTCGAGTATTATAGGGTCGCAAAAAATGAAAGTCAAGATAACAGAGGCATTTGTTAATGGAATTTCAACGATGTTTCGTACTGGATCTATTGGTCAAACGAGTTGATGAGTGGCTGTTCATCACTTTTCATGTTTTTCATTTTTCTTCGTTCATACTGACCTTGGTTATATGAAGATCGATTTGTATGTAAATTTATGTCGACCGTCACTATCAATATGCGTTGAATGATACGACTTTATCTTTAAAATTTGTCTCGGCTTTGATCTTTGATGCGAAAAAAGCGAAAGTTTCTTCTCAAATATGGAAAAATATGTCAATCCTTCGGAAATCCCATTTATGCCATCGAGATATATAGCAATAATTCCGCGATAAGATATTCAGTGTAAATATTCAATATAATTTTACAACTCAATGATATATTTAGATACTAACCAATGACGTAATATATTATTAGAAATATAGGAATTAATCATACTTCATTTATAAACATTATCAATATGTATTATTACTATAAATATATTGATAAAATTTTGCGAATAACAAAACAATGTAATAAAATTTTTAAGTAGCTATTATCTCTTTCCGCAATTATCAGAAAAAATGTTCCAGAAAAACGCACTGTGAGTTTTCTTCAAAGTACCAATATGATCCAGTGAGATGACCTTATTTCCTTCGCGCGGCACTCGAAACTATCACTCACAATCAAAGTGATGAAACGAAAACAGATAACGTCGGAAAAAGTCGAGGGAATAACGAAGGGAGACAAACACGTGGCCGTTTTATTCATCTTATCAGATACTCGAGACGATCAAGACTTAAGAATCGCGAAGCTCGCCGAGAATAAAAACAAAAATATATCTGAGAAAATTGAAACCCGCCGGAAAATGTAATTGCGCTTTCTTCAATGTGACAGATCTGGACCGTGATGAATTTCCTTGAAGGCAAATTTTTCTATATAAATTATATTCGGCATAATAAGCGAAAAGAAACAACAAAACAAATATTGTTTAAGTGTTATAAATTAAGTAAATTTAAGAATTGTATAAAGAGGAAGACGTTAAAGCTATTATGAAGAAGAATACAATACAGACGAAATAAATATTATCAAAAAAATATCGACATATAAAACTATTGTAATTTAATTTAATTTATTTCTTCTCGTTCTTAAGTAATATTACATAAAGCCCGATTAATATAAATAATATCAAGAAATGGAAAAATAAATTACGAGGAGAGTAAAAAGTTCAGTGCACTTGCCATTACTCTATCTTTATAATTATGACATCGATTTAGAATTTGATAAAGGGATAGCAACTACTATGAGATAATGTCTTTTCTTCCGGGGATGCCTAGTTACCGACGACAAAATACTGAGTTCGTCACGATAAACGTGCGCGATAAGATTCTTCGGTCAACGCGTACCTGAGCAATCCTAAAGATTAGTCAATAGAGTAACGTAGCGGAACGGAATGCTTGCATGCTGGACACCTCATTTGGCCTGCCAATCTGGACATTTTCAACGATAAATCTCTCTGGAAACCAAGCGAGCGAAACGTCGGCGACCCTATTAATTGCCGCGTCCTCATATGTAGATTAAAATCGAGATTATCGCCTAATTCCTAAAGCTATTATAGCGCCAGACTATGCGCGTATTCGCAATTCACGTGATTCGCAATCCATGTGTAGTATTCGCAAATAGTGCGGAGAGGAAATTCGTCGAATTCGCATTCGTGATTCGTGTTAATTCGCCAGCGTGGTGGTTTCTCAACGAATTCAAAGAATGCAAATCACCACGAATCAGTACATTTGTATTGCTCTTGTGGTCCACGTTGGCAAATAATAAATTTCTGACAAATTACTATGACTCGCAAATTACAAATCGCGCGAATAGTGCATAGTCTAACGTCAGCTTAAGAATATCAATCCATCAAAATTCGTACCTTCAACGGCAGTGCTGGACAGAGATAGATAATACAGATCAAATCTATAAATTTCTTTCGACAATCGAAGTTTATCTTTAGAACAACTTGAACTTAACTTTCTCGACTTTAATTCGGGATGATCTATCAAAAGCAAACAAGGTGGATTAATTTCTCGACCGCATCCAATCTAGCCTTCAACTTCTTTTATATATTATGCTATTTTTATATTCTACGAGTTCAGACTCTCCTTTTTTGGAAAAAAAAAAAAACGTTTCTCTTTTTGTTATTATATAAAATACATTACAAAAATAATAAACAATTCTCATATTAAACTTCATGCTACTTAAGAAAATTAAAGCTCTTTTCTATATTATAATATAATAAATTATTCATCTAAATAAACTTGTGTATTTTATAATCATCATTTCAAAAAGGCATAACAAGATAAAAACCCTATATTATCGATCTCTAATTAAAAATAAAGTATAATACGAATGTATCAACGAGCATCTTGACTTGGCAAAAAATAAAGACGACGTAACTTGATGAATTTCTAAAAGGGAACGCAAACTATGCTTTCATTACTCAGCGCAGTTATTATGGACTACAAGCTAGCTAGGTGTAACTCAACCCGTTCTTGCCTTTAATGAAATTTTGTTTTGTCTTTGTTTTCGTCTTAAAAATCAAAAGATCCAATCTTCTCACCGAATAAATAGACATATCTCTATCAATTTCATTAATCTCCTTAGATCTACAATTTAAGAAAGTTCAACCGCGCTGAAGAACAAACGGTACCGAAAGGACAATTAACATTCTCGCCAGAGAAGAGAAACTGCACGTTGCGTTGTATTAATGACAGCAGAAACGAAGATAGAGTAGCTACGGTGCCCTGCAAAGAAAGACAGAGTACATACGGCGCGCCTCTGTCTCGTTCTCCGTTCGCGATACGCATTGCAGCTAGTCTTTGTCGTCAGAGGCCCTAGTTAATCGTAAATTTTGACTGAGAGCGACTAGAACGACCATGAGAGATCAAGAATGAGGAGAAACAACTGGCTGCGACCGTTAAGCTGTTCGCTCGGTTGGAAACAGCTGATTTCCATTAGTAGCGACGATTAAGAGCGTCGTATCCGAGTTAAGCGCTCCTCGGCAAGACGTTCGTTTAATTAAGATCCCTTACTCGCGATGTGACTATACAATCAGTACGAGCCAGCCTCGTGCGAGTCGCGTTCTCGTATCGATTTAATTCTCCCTCGCACGCGAGTAAGGGTCGGATTCGTCTTGTCGAGCCGAGGAGCGCTTAGAGGAGTAATACTTTCGTCGTACTTGAAGCGATTCATTTCAACGCGAGGCTGAAATATGCACCACAAATGTCTCATTCGCGACATCATTTTTTTTCCCTTAAGTCCATCCGAGAAATTCGCCGTAAATTATTATCAACACCTGAGAATTCGACAGGGATAGCCAACATTATCTTCAAAGAACAAGAATCCCAATCGACAGTCTCAGAATTCGGCGAGAGTGACCGGGGGTCGCGATGCGTTTCGTCCCCGGCAATCGATTTCGAAAGATTGATTCCGTCCGCCGGATAATTAAGAATCGCGTGTTTGACAGTCCTTACCCCGGCTCACACCCTCGTCTCGTTGTACGGGCTGGACGAGCTCGCGCCCTGACGACGCTGCCGATCGGTATCGCCCGGCATGTTAAACACGACGTTCGGCACGGTCGTCGGATCGACCGTGGCCGGCTGATAGTGCGAACGACCGGGTTGCGATTGGTGAGAATGGGAGGAGGACGAGGGCGCGGTATCGTTTATAGAGGTAATCGAGGCGAGTATACGTCGACCGCGTACCTGGTAACGTTGGGGGTAGCAGCGCCCGCAGCAGGACTGCAACAGGCCGCCCCTGGAGGCAGTGCTGTGCGCGGGGGATGTCAGGGGCGATGGCGAGCCCGGCCTCTTCGGAGCACCGTTGTACGGCACCTCCATCTCCACAAATTCGCGGTCCTGGAAAAAACAATAACAAACGGGGCTTTTAGGCGAAAGAGCTTTCTCAATCTGACGGAATTTGAGCTTGTGAAACGCTGAAGAAAAGAGCCATGTTTGCAAATTCATTCATGCGCAATGATGATAATGAAGATATTCGTTGAACTGTGAAAGGTTCAGATAACGAATGAAAGAAATGAACTAGGTGGAGTAATAAAAAGACTGGGCTAAAATTAAAGGACAAAACAGATATTCGATGAACTAAAACAGATCGAGACAAGAATAAGAGAAGAATAAGGGAAAATGAAAAATGGAAAAAAAGATAAATCAAATATATGACTGCGTGTATACTGTAAACACAAAAAAGTACCCAAAAATTTCCGAATAATCTTTAATCTCCTTCGAAGTACTTTCCGTGTGACTTAAGGGGTCATGCCTAGTTGAAAGGGCATGATTTTCGGGGATTTTTATAAGAAAGTCAATTTATTTTTTCTTACAACAAAAAGTTGACATCAAAAGTACATATATTGAACAACATTCAGAATTTTTTTTGTTGAAAAATATTGCAAATTAAGGAAGTTACGGCCATTTCTGATTTTTCAGAGGTGTCGTGCGGTGACCACGATAACTCCAAGCCAAATTATCTAAAATCAAAAAACCAAAAAGATTCTGTTAGTATATGAATATATCTTGTTCGTGAACAAAGGATTTTTTGAAAAAATAATTTTTGACAAAATGGCGGCCGTTTTAAGGAAAAACGCAATTTTTCGGGCTCTTAATTTTTCGTTTTTCTTTAATAAAAAAAAAGTTTTCATTAAAAAAAAAAACTCCTTCGTTCACGAACAAGATATATTCATATACTAACAGAATCTTTTTGGTTTCTTGATTTCAGATGATTTGGCTTGGAGTTATCGTGGTCACCGCACGACACCTCTGAAAAATCTGGAGTAGCCGTAACTTCCTTAATTTACAATATTTTTCAACGAAAAAACTTCTGAATGTTATTCAATATATGTACCTTTAATATCAACTTTTTGTTGTAAGAAAAAATAAATAAACTTTCTTATAAAAATCCCCGAAAATCATGCCCTTCCAACTAGGCATGACCCCTTAATGCAACAATCCCAAAGTCTCTCCCACTTCAAGAAACACTGTCTCAATTCTTCTTCCAAAATGCTGTTAAAGGTTGCCGGCGATTCTCGTTGAACCTCACCAATGTCAGCAAAATGCCTCCCTTTAAGCTGCTGCTTCATTCGTTGGAATAAAAAGAAGTCACAAGGAGCGAGGTCGAGTGAATAAGGCGGGTAGGGCGCAGTTACCATTTTATTTTTAGCCAAAATCTGCTGAACGCTCAAGGCTGTACAGGGGCATTGTCGTGAGGCAGGAACCAATCACCACTCTTCCACTTTTCCACTTTTCTTCCACTCTTCCTCGCCCCTTGTGACTTTTTTATTGCCACGAATGAAGTAGCAGCTTTAGAATCTACTCAAGAATATTCTATAATCTATGCAGAGTAGCAGCAAAACTTTGAGCTGGATTCTTCGGATGATTCTCAATCCAGTGAAGAGCAAAACTACTATAATGCAGCACGATCATTTAGGGATTAATACCATTTAAGAGTAATTTTCTAATTACGTAGATTGTAATTGTAATTTTATTATTTTTTTAAATTTAAAATTATGACGATAATTATATTCCTTTATTTATATTTTAGTTACCAAACAAAACATTGAATTTTTAGAATTTCTTCTCGTAGCTCTTAGACCTTCATATGAATCTGAACCAGAAGCCGACCGAAATAATAGAACAATTTTTTAGGTAAGGGGAAGCCCTGAAAGAATTCAATTAATTATATATATTTTATTTTTCCATTTTATTATTTTGCTTTCTTTTTGATACAGATTCCGGCGAAAATGCTGAAACCTGAGGACAACCTCTAATAAAAGCTGCTAACATATATTGTTAAAAAATTATATTTTTACTGACATAAGCTTATTAACCGATTTTTGGTTAATAATTTATATACAGTGCATACATAAGTGTGCGTCAAACAAACGCAAATATAGAACAAAGAAAGAAATAATAAGATTCAGTGATAGTTCGTTAATAAAATAGGTGAAAATTTAATAGGCTTCCCAATTTGGCAAATCAGGATTTTTTTATTCAACATGATAAGTCGTATGAAAATCGTTGAAATAAGTCGTATGAAAGTCGGTTGAATACTTACTCATCCCAGCTTTTATGTTTTGTAATTATATGTTTTATGCGGTCATCATCGACACAGTTGGATATTAAAATTGATTCACCACACAATTTGCATCTTTTTAACTGAGGCTGCAATATATCATTCTCGAATAAATGCTTAATTTCTTCGATTGTCGGTAATTTTTTATGAGAATCCGTTGTATATCAAAGGGCACGTTTCTAGCTACTTACTAAGGCTGCGTTCGGGGAGCACGCTATTAGCGCTATTTGCTTATTCTATCGGATCCTTGTTCTTATACACTTGATGAGCGATAAAGATAGAATGATGCAATAGCGCTAATAGCGCGCTTCCCGAACGCAGCCTATATAGTTCATATAGAAAGAAATTACCTCAACACGCGTTTAAAATACTAATCACAAAGGTCGAAAAAAAACACTATTTATTTACTAGAATGTATGTAAATATAAATATGTGATTTAAATTTGCCTAACTACCAGCTCGATCTTATCTTTATTTATCCTATTACTAATTGGAAACTTTAAAATATTAAACAAATTTTAGAAAATTGTTTAAAAAAATTTCTCTTGTTCTAAATTATACTTTCAAATAATAAAAGTTACAAAAACAAAAGCTGATTATTAATTTAATATGCTACACTCATATTTATTTCTCAGAAATAAAAAAGAATTGATTTGCGATGGCTATCGCAGATAGTCGTGATGACAAAATTCACATAGATGTATAAAATAACGGATGCCATGGAAAATTCTATTAATAAATGATAAGCGAATATTATTTTCTTTAATATATTTCTGTTTTATACCGCTTCGCGCGGGCTCAAAATCTATTCCCCTCTCTCCAAACTCATTCATTAATTAGGAGCACCAACAGAACCCCATAATAGCCATTTCCATAAAATTAGTAATCTTTTGATATCAATTTCATCAAAATCATTAACAAAAAATTAGAAAAATTTTGGCACTGGTTTCAAGAAAATCGATCCATTAATACAAAATTATCCATTAATAAAAAATTAAATTTATCCTCCAAAAATTAAAACAAAAGTTAGTACTGTTTTCAAGAAAATGGGTTAATTAATACTTATTATTTCTCGAAATTTGAATAATTTCCAAACTGGTTTCCAAAAAATTGAGAACAAAAAATTATCCATAAAAAAATTCAGTTTGATATCTCAAAGTTTGCGAAAATTGAAACAATCACGTACACTTTTTTTAAACAGAAATCGGCAACCCTTTTAATATTAAGAATTTTTCAAATTTTATTACATTCTTTAGTTCTTTCTACCCCTATTTCATATATAATTGTTTAAGATTTAAACAATTATTTCCCCAAAAATTATATATATCTATATATATAAGTCACGTCTGTCTGTCTGTCTGTCTGTCTGTCTGTCTGTCTGTACGCGAACTACTCATTCGTTAGTGGACCGAATTTTTACCAAAAGTATATGAAACAGGGGTAGAATTTCCCGGGGATGAAAATGTCGTGGCCATTTTTTTGTTACCAATTTTCTGGAAACCGATTTTTCTAATTCTTCTAATTTTTCGGGAAATAATTGATTGAATTTAAAAGAATTATATATGAAACAGGGGTAGAATTTTCCGGGGAGTGTTATAAAGTGTATAATTTTTTGTTACCGATCTTTTTGAAAGCTGGTTACAAAATTATTGCAATTTTTCGGACATTAATTGACCAAATCTTAAAAAATTATATGAAGTAGGGGTAGAATTTCCCGGGGATTGCCATAAAGTGTATAATTTTTCGTTACCGATTTTTGGGGAAATTAATATCAGAAAATTTACCAATTTTTCGGAAATTAATTGACCGAATCTCAAACAATTGTACATGAAATAGAAGTAGAATTTTCTGGGGAGTGATATAAAGTGTATTATTTTTCGTTACCGATCTTTTTGGAAACCGGTTACAAAATTTTTCCAATTTCTCGGAAAATAATTGAATCTTAAAGAATTACATATGAAATAAAAGTAGAATTTCCCCGGGATTGCTATAAAATGTATAATTTTTCGTAAGCAATTTTTTTGGAAACCGGTTACAAATTTTTTGAAATTTTTTGGGAATTAATTGACCAAATCTTAAAGAATTATATATGAAATAGCAGTCGTGTCAAAATTTTTTTAATTGTTGGAGGATAAGTTATTTTTTATTAATGGATAATTTTTCATTAATGAATTGATTTTCTTGAAACCGGTTACAAAGTTTTTCCAATTTTTCTAAAAAGGTTTTCGATTTTTGTTTAAAAAAATGTAGGTACGTGATTGTTCTAATTTCCTCAAATTTTGAGATATTAGCTAAATTTTTTTAAAGATAATTTTTCGTTACTTTCTTAAAAACAATGCCCAAATTTTTCTAATTTTTCGGGGATGGCGAAGATGTGTATAATTTTTCATAATCAATTTTTTGGAAACCGGTTTCAAAATTTTCTAATTTTTTAGGATGGCTACGATGAGTTTATAGAAAAATTGCTAATAATAAAAAAGTTTCCGATTTCTGCTCCAATTTCCGTAAATTTTGAGATATCAAGCTAAATTTTTTTTATGGATAATTTTTATAGATAATTTTTCGTTACTGATTTTTGTGAAAACCGGTTACAAAATTTTTCAAATTTCTCGAAAGTTAATTGATCGAATTTCCAAAAATTGTATATGAAATAAAAGTAGAATTTCCTGGGGTTTGCTAAAGTGTATAATTTTTTGTTACCGATTTTTTTGGGAACCGGTTACAAAATTTTTCCAATTTTTCGGAAATTAATTAACCAAATCTTAAAGAATTATAT